ATCTGATCTTGTTGGCGTTCTCGGTGGTGTGTTGTTGCTTTTTTCGTGCTCCCCCATCCACCCTACTTCGTGTCACCCTCGAATTGACAGTTTAATGCGAGGGACTTTAGACTTAGACCCCTCTTGTTCAACATTCTGCGAGGAACCTTGTGAAAAAAAGAGTGCGTGTCCATATTTACATATTTTCCCATCTCGGTGTCCTTAAGGAGGCGGGAACGACTGCAACGTCCAATTTCCGCACTCCTGAAAACCTAGCCCTTCGCAAAACACACAGGACCGGTAAGCAGCCGTTCTGGAGTGCTGAAGAGGTCGACCGACGCAAACGCAGCAAACAATAGGCCAAAACACTACGGGCCTGTGGTCGGCAACAACCAGTGTTCATGTTGAAATACAGATTGCCACGGCAATGGATTGTACCGTAAACCAGTCACCATGGGGCGGTGATTCGAGATAAGTTTCTGTACGGTAAACAGCCAATTCACGGCATGGTCCATTTATAGAAATCTGTTGAGCGCGTGGAGTGCGACCGAACCGACTTCTGTGTCCATCTTCACCGAGAAAAAAATGAACAAAATCACAGGAATCGCGATTGTTGCGCGGGAATTGTTTTGGACGGCTGTACGGGGCAACATAATTTGCGCGGGGGACAGATTTGAAGGGAAATGGTAAAATAAATTTCATCCCACGGGTGTGCCACGTTTTGAGGGGGACGGTGTGTTTGTGTATCCCCATCAATTCTGGTGCCAGCCTACACACCGGTCGGTGTACATTTCTGACGCATTCGCCGCTATTGTAGTTCCGATGTTCCGATAAAAACCATGGTAAAACAACGAACGAAAACGGAACCTACAGAGTACTTTGTTACGGACATTATATTCTTTCTGTCAAATGCTTCCCGAGGACAGCCTTGGAAGTCGCAACCCCTCCCTTCCGCTATTGTAGCCAAGTGCCTCGTCGATGGAATACCGGAGACACATTGACACACTCCTGCTCAACATGCTTGGATGAAGTCCGCCCGTCATTCGGCACTCTTGCACGGAGTACAAGCAGCTACTGCTGCTGCGGGGCCTCCGATGATGTATGGCACGCTTCAAAGAGGGCCACCACTTCCGACTTCATCACGTCCGTGTGGGACGAGCTCGTGTGTGCGTGTCCTCCGAGCTCAAAGCGGGAGCGACTGCAGCTCGTGTGTGCGTGTCCTCCGAGCTCAAAGCGGGAGCGACTGCCGTAGCGACCGGCTGCCTGTTTGTCGCGGCCTAAGAACGAAAGACACAGGTGCTTGCTAATCAAGTACAGAGTCTGGCGGTGCTGGGAAAACAAGATGTGGCGTGATGGGGGCATTACTTTGGTCGCGTCCTCGGCAACTCACCGCACATGGTTTTCAGGGAGAGAAAACGCATATCTCCGAATAGGTTGGGACACGCCGAAGAACCGCGAAGAAAAACCCACTGGTTTGAGAGACGCAGTCGGAATTATTATGATGGCCATCATGTTTAAAAATGACAGCAAACCGCGCATATTTCCCAAAAACCGTGCAGACGTGCAGACCGTTGTACATGCGGTTCGTTTTCTACAGCTCTTCCATGCGGGTCTTCGAGGCAAAACAACGAACTTCTGTGTGTAGTCACCGCCGGCCAGCCACCCCAGAAAGAGGTAATACAAAAGTAAAAAAAAAAAGACATGCGTATAATATCTGCATGCAAATCATGGCAAGGAGGAAGACGCTGTTGCACAGAAAAGCACTTCCGAATGATAGGGGAGCGTCGTTACATCTGTCTAACCATGCACATGGGTGTGCGTCATTTTTCTTCGCACCCAGAGCCATTACGCAGAAGAAGAAGCATTTTGCGCAAAACATGTTCCGCAGGTCGTGCGAGCAAGAGAAGGCGACCACAAAAAAAAAAAAACTCTCACGGCCAAGTTCATGATGAACACGGTCTCCTTCTGCCTGGCAAGGGAAAAACAGACCCCAAGAAACAGATTTACGCGTATGTACGCGAAGGAGTCTGAATAGCCACAGCAGCACACAGGTGTAACGGAACACTACACGTTGCCTTTGACCGAATGAGAGGCAGGGTGTACGCGTGTACAAGAGGAGGGGGGAAAATAGCTCCGAAAAACGCGTACCCCCTTCGTCTTTTGCTCGATGCGTATTCCAGAAACTTAGGGTTCGGCCGATTTACACACAGCAAGTAGGCCACAGCAGCATCCGTGAGCAGTTCCTATGCGTGCGCACCGTAGATGTCCAAGCCTTCCATTGGAGAACCGTCTGTCTCGTGTAGGCATTTCTCTCGTGCACGCCACAGCCTCATTTAAAGGAGGTGAAGCTCATGCTGGCAACGCGGTGAGCTGTCTGTTATACATTCAACAACGTTCCTTCAGCACCCAGAATCCCACAACAGCAGTCTTGTTCCACAAAATATTCATCAACGACTGACTGTCCACAGGAGCATCGGACTCCCAATGAGTGCTCTACTGCAGAAGCAACAGCAGCTGCTGCTGCCACCCAACCCATACCCCGAACAACAGCACCCTCTGCCCCTATCTCACCGCTTAGCCCCTGGATGACGAGCTTGCCCACGAGGCCTTCCTTGACCTCAACTGGCAGGTTCATGTCCTTGAGAAGGGTCTTTTTGATGCGCAGGTCCGTTAGCTCCAGGTGCGACTCCTTGAAAATGTCACCCACGAGAGAGACGTTGAGCTGGTTCTTGTCTACGGACTCGAATATCTCGGCCAGCACCGCCTGCAGGCCCGTGGAGATCACATCATCGAACATTGCGGCCGGCGGGGGTGGTGCTCACAGGGGCGGCGGCGGCGTCGTCCGGTCCACACTGGCACTGGGACAAGCACACGCGCGTTCACACACACGCGCTCAAGTGTGGGGTGGGAGCACCTCGTGCTTTGGACAGGAAGGGGGCGCGGGCAACACTGATCTGCTCAGCCCCAGCGCTCTCTTTCTCCGGTTGCACCTGCGAGCAAGCAACAGCCTCTACTGGAAAGCTGAGCTTGCGTTGTCATCAATGGGGATTCGATGCCACTATTCCCCCTGCGCACAATTGCGAAGAAAGGGGTACCCGCAGACAGGATTGATTGCCGAACAAGGCGGAAGGGGGTGGACGACATGCGGGGGAACTTTTTGTTTGGAAAGCCCTGACGCGCAACCAAACACATGCATGCCTGAGTTATTCCACATTTCTCATTCACCCTTCGCGGTGTTTACCTCTTGGTGAGTGGCACACGACTGCAGGTAGGCATGAAATTCGCACGACATCCATCGAGCGACGGCTATAAGTAGAGAGCGGTGAGTACACATGAGACAGAGCAACACAGGGCAGGTCGTCCCGGTTGAAAATGAAACGCCCAAATAATTCGCAACAAAATAGGAAACATCCATGCAGCAGCATGCAGCAGCAGCAACAGATCTTTGACGGGAGTGCAGCGTACGTGTGAAAAAGACGTGTTCGCCCTCTCACCCTTCATCACGCTACATAAAGCCCTCCCGTGCCAGCCCCAGAGACATCTCGAGACGGCGCCCTTCAGTTAACGGACACAAATCCATACTCGCTCGCGAGAACGTGAGAGACAGGATCGATCGTCGTGTGGTCTTCGTTTGATCCGTCTCAAACTAAACAAGCCGGCATCCCGACCGTGTGCCCCATAGGATGGTCGACCCGGCGATGCTCATGGTCGGAGTTCCCGGGATGGGCAATGCTGATCCCTCATGGCACCAGGTGACACACTTGCGTCTCTGATGGTGCATCCTGATCGCCCCGTCCAGATAAGATCTAGTCTTCGCTACGGCTTGGTGTTGTATGATTTGTAGGAGCACGGGCTTCCAAGTGAAATCTTCGTAGCTGGGGTGCCGACGCAGACATGGGTCAGCCCAATCCGTGCATGCGACGGAAAGAGAAACATCTCCAAATCACAAACGTAGCTAGAGTGTCTTTCTGCCACCCAGCACGTCTATAATGCATTGTTAGCAAGTTTGGAAAGTCTACAACTATATGCATATAAATCCATTTACTACAAGTACATTGCCACATCCCGTCTTGCACATCGGCAGCGTATCCCGCATGAGACCAAGCCCATGTGATGCAAAGCTTATAAAATTCGAGGCGACTACGACGCCTTGTACTTCGCTTCTCACAGTACTAGTCTGCTCTCTCTCTCTCTCTCTCCCTCCCTCTCGTTGCCCTACCCTGCTCTCTTCTTCTCCACTTTCGCGTCAAATCGTCCAACCACGACCATCGCCGTTTTTTACTCCAGCGCCGACCATACGGGTTTTTTAGATGCGGTTACAGGAAGGTGCAGGCACGGTCACACGCCCATCGCCGCCCCTCGACGGCTTCGGGAAGGCTGACGGCAGCACCGATGGTAGCGTATCATCGGCCCTCGCCGCCGATAGGGTTAGCTGTCGACAAATCAAAATACTCGGAAGCCCACGGGAGCACGGTTGACAACGTATACGACTATAACAACAATAGGCGGGCTGGAAGCACAACCCGCGGAATCTATCGGCCCGACGGTGCACGGTCGAATCGGGTACGCGAAAGACCGATGTCTGCGGGATGTTACCGCCCAGCATCACCTTCGGTTCGAACGTCCGTAGGGTTTTCAGCTGCCGTAGAGACCTGCACAAGGAATCCCGCCGGCATCATTCGTGGCGGAGGGCGTGACGGACGGGCTGCTCCGCCGGCGACGCCACCACGCTCGCCACGTTCTTCCTCGCTCGATACAGGGGCTACCGCAGCGTCACGCCAGCACCATCACAACCAGCCATCTATTGGTGCTGCAACACTCTCCCGAAGGAGTAGCCTACGTACCCCGCCACCACACCACACTATGAACCATCGCCGCCCTTCGACCGCAGGGGTGAAGAGGAGCCGTGCTGGTGTCGGTATTGGCAATGGATTCTACCATCACGGCAATGAGAACGCAGCCACGACAAGCGTGCAAGTTGCTCCCACTGGTAACAACGATATTGATTTCAACCCGAGCGAAAATCCTGCCACACACGCGCAGCGCGCACACGGGGACCAGGTTGAGGTTTCCAGTGGTGGAGCTCCATATTGTGCTCGGAACGGTGTGGCGGGTCACGAAGATCACGGATGCTTATACTCCTATAGGAAAGAATATCGCGGCGTAGGAGACCAAGAGGAACACACAGAGATGACACTAACAGCAACGCCAACGCCCCAGGCTACCGACGCGGCCGCCACTGCCCAACATAGGAACACTCGAACTACCATCCGTAGAAACGCACATGAGGCGCCGAGCCGCAGGAGGCGACCAGCGTCCGCCAACTCAGTCCGCTCGAGGACAACCAATGACCACCAAGGAGCCCGCGACGACTACGGCGACGGTGGCGGTAGCGGCGCCGGCAACAGCCAGTGGGGGGCCGAGACCACGCGGGGACGACGAAACGTGCGCGGCTGGGACAGGAAAACGCAGAGGCCCAGATCTGCAAGCGCAACGACACGAGGCCGAGCGCACACGTATGGCGCAAGCGGCACCGACTTGCTCGCGCAGAGCCCGCTCGGATCTTGCAGACCGATGTCTGCTACTGAGGTGCGATCAACGCCGGCCGACGGGGGTCGTAATGGTCTCAGGGAACATGCTCGGCCACAGAGCGCTGCTACGGCCACTCCACCGGCGGTTGTTCCGAGCTTCGTGGTGTCCGAGAAACAGGTTCTGCGGTTTTTCGGACATCTTACGGAAGGCAAGGATTCTACAGCTTTCATACACCGACAGCAATGATCGCAAGAATTCGATCGTCCAGCTTTCGCTGTGTCCACCTCGATCCCTGTCTTTTGAAGACGCCAACGCCAGATATCCAAAGTGCAACATCGCCCACTCCCCGCCAACTTTCAGACCCCAGAAAGAAACCAAATCGTGCTTCCCCACTGCTCCTCAACCTCTTGAATGCTCCCGGGATCCTTTGAAAACGGTAGAGCTAGACTGGGGGTGCCCGAGAAGCCCGGGGGAAGAAATAGCCGGTGGTGCCGCCTCTCCGATTCTGAAGATCCGACAGGTGGTGTTGCACCTGTACCTCGCCGACGGCAGCTTGGAAATTTTCGAGAAGCGCCAGGTATGCGTTCCTCACGTTGGTCGGTGCTGTTCGACAGTAGAGAGACACCAACATAATGGCTTTTCTCTTATTCCCATCGTGAGTCCCGGGGGGCAAGAGACACTTGTCGGTTAAGCACACAAGGCCTTCACTGTGAACTCTCAAGTTCAAGAGATAGCCACTCTACAGACTTGGTGCCTTTGTGCGTTGGAGGGAGGCCCCCACGACAATTCTGACTCTCGGCGCAGCCGATGAAGACAATACCGCCAAGTGCGCACGCGAGAGATACGTGGACCAATACTTACGGTTAAGTATTGCACCGAATGGTGAATACCGCGGTGGTCGATCGACGATGTTTGTATGGACTGAGCCTATGCATTCAAACGAAGGGACTATCGAATTCAGCAGCCAGACGGTGAAACATCACAAGTAGTTCGTTTAACAGAGAGGGCTTTCTGGCGGCTTGATCAACCAAAACTACGCTCGTGGTACCGGTGACACTCCTCGAAGCCCTTGCTCACCTTACAGTAGTTCCATGTATTTAGGCGTATGGAATGTTTTCCGTCAGCAAACCAAGAGTATGCATTAAAAAAAGCTGAAGGGGAACGGTGGATCGAGACCTCTTGGATTGCCGGGACGATCTCCTGGAACTAGGGCCTATTACCGCGTGCACACTTGGCAATCAAGCCGTTGATCTGCCGCGCATCCATGCGCCATGGGCTGACGATCGAGCCGTGCATGCAACCACTGCCTTGTTAAACAAATCGTAGTAATTCTCTTGGTCCCGTGTATGCTGTGCTTGAAACCCGCCTGAGGATTAGGCCAACAGCGGTCAGCAGGGAGGTCTCCTCTTGAAACGAAACATTTTCAAGAAGCGCGATGGATCCATATACGGCGTTGGCGATCTCAAGGTAAGACCAATGTGCTACTATTATGACAAACAGCACGTGCATGCGTTGTTGTCTCAGCGATCCCGAGAAGTTACGGTATTTACCCGTAAACGATCAACCACCTTTGAAGAGGAGGGAAGGTTGGCGGTTTGCTGCTGGCCTTATCCACTTCATTCATCCCCACGCACCGTTGCTTCTTAGACGGAATGCAGAGCTCATTCATACTCCTGATGTAAACACAGGCAACACTTCGAGCGGCTTTGCTTCTTTTGGCGGATTTTGGTCTTATTTCGCGCGAGGCAAACATAGTCCGTCTTTCGCGAACAACCGACCAACCGATCATCCGAAACAGGTGGGCAGCGACCTCAAGCTGCTCGGCCGCTCGTACCGGCTAACGGGGTGCGACGACTACACTAGAAAGTGGTGAGGGGGGGCAAACACGTTGGAGGGGGAGCATGAAAGTGACAGGGTACCTATAGTGGTACCCTTCCCCATTTCTCGGACCCGTGGTGGCAGGGTACCTAGAGTGCTAGGAGCATGTACACCTCTCAGGGGGTTGGGATGTCTCGCCGGTCGGAATTTTCAACGCCTAAGTGCTTTCATTCCGGACTTATTCAACGTCTGACAGCATTTTGTCCCGCGGCCCGCTGTCATTTCGGTCCAACAAGCTTGTATCAATCCAACCTAAGCCGCAGAAGCAAAAAAAGTGCAGCCAGCAAGGCCGAGCCTTGTTGGAAAAGCCAGAAACGCATGAGTCCCCCAAGGGCCCGAAAGCACCGGAATTCTCACCCCAAAACCGAGGTGGAAACAGGAAAATAAACCTGAATCTGACCTTCCCCTCGAAAATGTTGTCGTTGCAAGGTACGCAAGCGAAGGGTTTCGACAACCGGAAGCCCAACCGGTCCCGAAGGAAATCAACCAGTGCCTTCGGGTTGAACACACTACCGGCTTGTGCAACAAACCTCAACGCCCTCACACCGCACCAAGGTGAGAGATGCTTCCATGTTTCATTGTCGCTGGCGTTGTCGTTGTTGCTGTGATACTTTTGTTTTCGTTGCTGTTGTGGATGGAGTTTGAGATGATAGTACCGGTCTCCATACTTGCCAGACGTTCTGATCTGGCATGCTGGCTGTTCCTAGTCATGGCGAGTAGAATGCAATGGGCATTCCGCAAACGTCAGTATAGCAGCCGCATTGCCTCATTACTATTGAGCGGGCGAGGATGGGCATCCTATCTCAACGTATGAGAGATGAGGCTTCGATGATTTGAACAATTTCAGCGACAACAAGCTAAACGTGTGCCCCGCTCCTCCCGCTTGGGGCGCGTGCCGGTGTGCCGACGCCCTTGCTCGTCTGCAGCGGTCGACCGCCATCGTCCGGGGGGCGATCATCGCAAGAAAGCTCCGGGCTCAGAAGGGCGCACCAAGAAAAGGTGTTAGGCGTCTGTGAAAAGTTGTGTTGGGGCGTTCGTTCAGGCTCTCCAAACGTGCTCAGTGAGCCCTGCCAAAATAATATGAGTGGACAGCACTGATTCAAGCCTCGGGTGTACCGGCGCTTCGAGTGAAAAGGAGCCAGTCAGCTTGTCCCGACCACGGCCATGTTCGCGTGTTACTCGGGAGTTATTGTGGGTTCATGTTAAGGATTTTTTCCCGCTGTGGTTCTCGGTGCCGTGTGCAGGTCCGTCGCTTCTTCAGGCACGACAAGGAGACTCTTCGCTTTCAGGTGGTCTGGGACGACCCTTCCGTCGGAGGTCGGTCCAATCGTGTTTGGTCCGCTACTTGCCAGACCACGCTACATGTTTGGCCTGTCTCAGTCCGTTGTTGCATATTGGTGTGGACAATATTGCTGTTTATCATCTGGTCTTGCCGCGATTTTTTCGCAGGGATTGGCTCATCATCCTGGATTCACCAAAACAAAATTCGGCAATAAGATCGGCCCACTAGCAATTGTGCTACAGGATTTGTCGTCTTCAGCTTTGGTCAGTCGTGGCCTACCATGACCGGCTCGATGTAGGTCTGAGGAAATTGACCCTGACGACTGACCCAATTTCGCACAATCTGCTATTTTGGGGCATGGAAAGTGGAAAGAGCATCGTCGGAAAATCCTTTGCAATAGCTTTCCGACAAACATGTCGCTCCCTGTAACCCCCTGGCTGTGCAAGTCACCGGCTGTGAAAAATACCCCCCCCCCTGGGGGAACTCAGGCAATGCGTTATTGTTGGGCCAACGCAAGGCGCGGGGGGGTCGTATACTACGTATCACAAAGCACAGATGTAGAGTATATCACCTCTATATAGACGATCGTATCCCCGCACACCTAGGACGGAGTAGCTAACAGTTCGGGAACCGAACCAAGTGCTTTCCATTGTCGCCACGCCGCTTTTCGACTCCACCCCCCATTTCACCTATCCCCCAGGCACAAGGAAGCGTTACGATCTGTTGCTCTTCCTGGAAGACGAGACGGTGTCCCTCCATAACCCGAAAGAAGAGAGGCAGAATTCTGGCAGCGATGAGAGCGTGGTAAGAAGGACCGCCCTAACGAGAGGCATATGGTGGCCACATTACTTGAACGTAGAAGGGGGGTGGGATAGCTTCGAGAAGAGTGTAGAGCACCCGGGTGTTGGCCCCATCGGCGCAGAAGAGCCCTTGGGACGGTGCGGTGCTGATGTTAGACGGCATGCGGCTGAGCACACCTACTATGGCGCGCCGCTGACTGCGAACACCCATGCTGCACACCGCACTTGCAACGGGCGACCCCCCCACCTCTCCTCCCAACCCATGAAGCGATTCAGAGGTCACCTTTGTCCATCGCGCATGAGTTGAGCAAACTTCTGTTTCTTTTCCTCCCAACCTCTCTCTCCTTCGTGAAGATTCACGCCCGCAGGCAACGCCTGCCTAAAGACTGGACTACTCGAACCGATGTAAACTCCGGCGGAGAAGGGGGGCAGGCGGACGACGGGAACGCGGGCGGAGGGTTCGTTGGGGAACTCGACTTGGCCGTGGGGCGATCGGTGTACGTCTGGGGGAGGGAGATGAAAATGGTCGGTTGCGACCCGTTCACCAGGGCGTATTACAGGCGAGGGTCGCCTTGTTTTTTGTCCCCGTATAAAACACAGGCCTGTTTTATTTAGTGCTAACGTCCGAAGATCAACTCGAAGAGGAGAGGTCGTTGAGTGTTTCAGAAATATGTATTCAGCACAATATAACAGTAAACGCCGCAAAGAAGGCGAAGGGTGGTATCCCCGCCAAAAACAGGCTTCATTCGATGTGTTTGCGCGTTTTCACTCAGCACCAAACCGGCCAATTACGCCAGAACTCTTGTTTGTCCCACACATGTTTGTGTGCGTGTATGTACTGATCGAAGGCGACACCATTGTTTTTTGCTTTTACGTACTAAGGCCTGTTAGAAAAAGGCCAACCCTTGGCGACAATTTCGTACTCATCAACGTGTAGCAAGTGTAAGCAGCGTCTCATTTGGGGCTCCCTCTCCCTGCCAAGTAAAGAGCTCGAATTATATTCTCTCGTGAGATTCACGTGCTCCCTTAAATCCCACGCAAAACACAACCTTCTCCATAAACAGGCGAGAGCACGGTATCGACATGGACGCGGATCTCGACGAAACCGCCACCGCCGCTGGGAGACCAGCGTACGGGACCCGCAGCATGACAGCTGCCATCGTCGCAAATCCAAGACCGGCGGACGGCAGCACGGCGGCAGCGGCGGCGGAAGGGACGGTAACGGACTACCTCACCTCAAGCCTCGGTCGGTACAAGGGGGGTGGGCCGGGGGGGGCTCTTCCCGTGGACCGTTACAGGGGGCATCGCCTCCGGTGCAAGGCTGTGCTGAGAAGCAACATGCCCAATGACAAGGGCCGGGAGGTGCGCGTTGTGTTTTGGCGTGTCTCTTCCGGCAAACGGTGTTGGCTTTTATTCGTCATTGATACCGTTGAATTCTTCGGGGCATGGAGGCACTCGTTAAATTCTTGGTTGATACTCCGTCGAGCCCCGAACTCTAGGCGTAACCTCCCGTTTTCCGCCCCTCACCCCTGCTCTCGTACCCGCTTCTCGAACGTTGTACAACCCCCCACATGACTCTGACACCAGTTTGTGATCACGTACGACCTGGCTTGGAACACCTTGATGGTGTACGAGCTGCAGCGGCGCAACTCCGGGCGTCCTGGGGGGTTATTCCTGGTAAAGGGCAGACACCGAAGACCTGGGGAAAACAACAGGTGCGGCGGAACCGAACCGAACCCCCTCGGTACGTGAAAGGCCCCTCTTCAAAACGATACCCTCTAGCACCCACCCTCGCAAAAAAAGCGAAAAAGTTTATCTAAAAGTATCAATTTGTTCACCGGGTGTTATGGTGGTCATCGTCGGTACTGGTTACGTCAGGTATTATGTGCCCCAAGACCTGTACCTAGGAGCTGTCGTTCCGTTGGTGACAGGCCACACGCTTGTGGTCACGGAAATGGACCGCTCAAGCCTGGCGCTGTGTGAGGCCCACCCCCGGGAGTTCCCCCTGATGGACTGCAGGCGGGTGCTTGGGAGGATTGCCCAGAGGGCCAGGAACATGCGCCTAGCCCTGCGAAGGTAAGAAGAGGCAAGCGTCTCTTTCCCACCGTGATTTTTAAGGCTAGGGTTCAACAGACGATTGGGATCCACGAAGCCTACTCTCGCAGTGAGCAGGGTGTCCCCGCGATGAGCAACGCCGATGGAAGTGGGGCACGTCAAAAACAACTTGGACAGTATAGACAGGGTTCTGGATGCCAGAGGGAGAGGTGGAGGAAGGAAGCGGGGGAACAGAGGGGCGAGTGCCACAGGCAATCGACCATCGAAGTCATGGAAGTACGTCCTCTCGAGGGACTTTGATGAGTCCATTCGGAGGGGGTTATCCCCGGACATTGGGCGCTACAGATAATCAAAGTAGGTGTGCTGGTTCAGGAGACCTAAGTCCCACATCACCTCGATTTTCCGTGAAACGTGCGTTAAATGGACGTTTCGTGCATGCGGTGGTCATCAATAAACTTAAGTAGGGGCTGGGGGGGAGGGGTCAGCAGTTGGCCGAAGCATCTAGTTGAGGAGATGCTACTCGGTGTCCTTTCAGAACGGAAAGTACGGAAGGCATTTTGCTATGGTACTCCCCGAAAAAAGCACATGAAGAATATCTTCTATGCCACTCCCTAACGCCGTGGAGTCCAGACCAAGTACGGTGGTATCCCCCCCCTCTCAAACGCACACCACGCACTCCAGGCTCGCCTGTACACAGTCTGCACACATACAATCTCACCTCGATCTTCACCCGGCTTCCCAAGCTCCTGCATGAACAAATCGTCCTTCATTGATGTAGATAAAGTGGCCTCCTTTGTGTCAAAAGGCACCGGGCCTCCCAGCCCTTAGTTAACGTGAACGCCATTCTGTTGTACTCGTCTCCAAACTAACGATCCAACTTCTCGGTCCGACTTGCATGACAACGGCTCTCCGGTCGACAGCGAGCTCCGTCGCCGAGCGGCCAACGCCCAAGGGAACACTGTGACAGCTGCCCGCGAATCGCCTGTCGGCGAAGGGGGAAGAAACGGCGGTAGCATCTCACCGTCGCGCGTAGGCGCGGCCACCGCCGCGGCAAGCAACATGTCGAGGTGGACCGCAGGGAAGATCTTGACCAAAGGTGACGGCAACCGTAACGGGGACAGCGACAGCGACCGTCATTGGGTACCCTCGGGAGTAGCCCCCGCCACCTCGTCAACAGAAACGCCGCGGCAGCAGCGGGGCACCCTTGGAATGAACGGCGGAAACGGCTCCGGTCAGAACGACACCAACCATCACGGTTCAGGCGCCGACCTTAGCAACGGCAGGGGCGTTCCCTCAGGAAGGAGTGCTCGAAGCGGAGCCACTTGGGGGCTTGTCGGAGGTTGGGGCGACAGCTATGCCAACACCACCGAAACCGGAGGAAACCATAATAGCACCACCACCAACAACAACATTGGCACGGTAGACGGACCCCACGGTGCTTCCCAACTCGTCCAACCAAGCGTCAGCTACGGTTACACCCACCATGAGAACAGAGGAGGCAACCCGAAGAATGAGTCGGCCACGGCCCCTTGGGCTGCCGTACAGGCGGCAGGGGTTAACGTCTTCAAGTTAAGCACAGGACAAGCGGCACTCCTGGCGAGGAAGCCAGCGGGCACTCCCAGGCGGGCCGCCGCAGGCACCGGTAAGAAAACCTGTAGCACCGGAAGACTTATATGGAATTAAATGCAATGTTTCGAGAGAAACCGTGGTTTAACCTCCCGCACTCGTAGCCAACCTCTTGGCCGAGCTGAGGGCAAAAGCCAAGTGCATTTGGACGAGTTTTGGCCCATCATGCATGCGAACTAGGATATCGAATGAACGTTAGGTGAATAATCTCTGGAAAGAAAAGAAAAGTCCTGCGGCGGTGTATCTGCATTCTTTTTCGATGTCGGCTGCGTAGAATAGATGTGCCGCACACCTGCCGCTTCGAGGCCTCAAGCGATCAACATGGCAGTTTTCTAGGTTAATCACCTCGACAAAAAAAACGTGTGAGACCGACTTGGCCTCGGTGCACTCAGAACGCTGTGCTACGTACAAGTACACGTGCTTTCTCGACGTACGCAGTTTGTGTTGATTGATGATTGGTCACACAAACTTGATTCCACTGCGAAACATTAGCGTGTGTACAGCACAAGGTTTTATCGTTCTCTAGGTGAGAGCGGGGGATTAAACGAACCTCAGCAAGCCTTCGCTTCCCACATAGTCCGCTAGGTTCCCAAGATATCGTGGATTGGCAAGTTCCTTAGCTCCGTGAGACATGTGAGGGTTTCAAGCGGATCTATCGTTTAGCGTGATCGTTTCCAAAATAAAGAGCGATTGTCTTATTGTTTTTCTCGTGCAGACGTGGGAGCTAAGAGGAGCAGTGCAGACGGCAACGGCTGCGATACGTTCGAGGGTCACGAGGCGTTTCGTGATGCCATGGATGGTCTGGGGCTTCTTGTTGGACTGGGTCAGCAGGAAGTGTTGACTCTGGTGAGGCCATTCCTTCGCTGAAACTAAGAAAGCATGCTAATAGTCAAGGAAGTGGGGGGGGGGGGGGGTGCCCATGTTCATGCATTGCCTAAGGAGTCTTCACGCCTGAGACCCTCGCATTTCCGGTCTTCCGCAGAACAGGACGTAGTGGTAGCGTTCTGCCCGCGAATGCGCTATTGTCTCCACTAAAACACACACCTTTTTTCATCAAGGGGCGTCAACTCGTTTTGCCTTGCAGATAGAGACTCTCCGTACACCGATATTCAGAGCTTGGGTGTCTCGCGAGAGGCCGGTGCTGGAAGCCCGAGAATATTGCCAGCAGGGTTTTATCACACAAGCGTTGTCTTTTACGCCAAGCATTCTACTACCCATTGCTGTGCTCCTCAATACCTCATGCAATGATTCCAAGGCCGTTACCCATCATCAGTGGTAATTTATGTCAACAGCAGCGTGTCGAAGAATACTACCCAGAAATCAGGGCAGATTCACACATCAGTACTATTATACAATGCATGACTACATATAATCCGTGGAATACATGGAGATTGCACTCGGAACTCGTATCTAGCTGCGGCAGTTTCTGTCCCTTGCTTCTCCCTACAATCGATATCTGTTGCGCCGAGTCTAAGGGCGTGAGGGGTAAGAGGGGCAACGTGTGAGAACAGTAGCGTCGATAAGGCGGTGGCTGAGCTTCATGTTCTGGTCATTTACTCGCGCACCGGGTGACGGCTTTCTATTTCCCCTATTGAACACTCCACCTATCTAACCCGCCAGGTTCGGGCGTTCACCGACAAGCGGGGCAAGAGAATCCTGTGGGCAAGCATGTGTGACAGTATTTCGCAGCTTGACGCGGAAGACGTCGCCACCGCCACCGCCCCAACGGCAGCCAGCCACGGAGGTATTCGCGGGACTAGAGCCACCGTGGGAGGCGTTCGCATTCCCGCGGCAACAAGGAAACATCGCCGTTCCCTTCAGCCACCGGCGGCTTGCGGCGAAACAGTGAGTGTTTGCCCTGTTACTGCATCGGATTGAAAGGAAGTAGACGCGTTGATTTCGGGAGGGTGTAGGTCGGGGCAGCCAGATCTGGCAAGGTGAACAGCTCTCTCAGACCATTTCGGTGTCCAAGAAGCCGGTTGCAACTTCCACCCGAGAAAGGGACGACGCCCCCCGCCCCTTGCCTCTCCCGAACTACGTTGTACAGTCCAATGTACAGTCCAAAGATGTTTCCCGTCGAGACACTAATGCAGTGTTTGACCCCCCCCCCCCCCCCCCCCCCCACGGGGGAAGAACCCCCCACGGTGTGTTAAAAAGGTCAAACTTT